TTATTTATTTTAAAGATGCTTATCATATACAAAAATGAATGATATAATCTCGAAAAACTCACCTTTAAAAAAAGGTAAAAAAAAGCGACCAGTTAAGGGCACGCCATTAACAAAAATTATCCATTGCAAACCCATGTAGAATCCTATCCTATTGCAAACCCATGTAGAATCCTATTCTATTGCAAACCCATGTAGAATCCTATGAAAAATTAATCATTGCAAACCCATGTAGAATCCTAGGCAAAATTAACCATTGCAAACCCATGTAGAATCCTATGAAAAATTAACCATTGCAAACCCATGTAGAATTGTATTAAAAATTATCCATTGCAAATTTATGTAGAATCCTACATTGCAAACCAATGTACAATAGAATTGTATGAAAATTATCGATTATAAACCCATGTACAATCGTAACAAAAGTAATGAAATAAAAAAAAATTGCGCCAAGTAAAAGTAGAAACTTGTACCAGTGGAAATTAAAGTTGCAGACATATATAGAGTCGTATAAAATCAGTAAAAATTTAAATTTGCAAATGTAGAATCGTACCATAAAAAAACTTATCTTTTAAAAAAAAGATAAACAAGATGCCAAGTCCATGCGCCATGTGAAAAAGTGTTAAACAAAAAAGTATTTTTAAATAAAAAAATCTATAAATTGACAAAAATTTATGTTCTAAAATTAATATCTCTACAAAAAGTAATGTCCAAAAATTGCGCAAATAAATAACATTTTTATAAAAAATTAAAATTTAAAATTTATGCAAATTTAAATTAATATAAAATAAAAAAAAATAAAAAAATTTTAGTTAAAAAACTGGGCGCGCTGCTAAGTTTCAAAATTACAATGCACCTTAAAGTAACATTAACATGTAGAATCCTATGAAAAATTAATCATTGCAAACCCATGTAGAATCCTAGGCAAAATTAACCATTGCAAACCCATGTAGAATCGTACCCATTGCAAACCTATGTGGAATCCTATGAAAAATTAACCATTGCAAACCCTTTTTAAATTCT